CTGGGGGCTTAGACTCCAGACGACCGAGAACACGCTCACTCTTGAAAACCTCCTCCAAGGCCAGCTCCACATGGTTGGTCTCGTCCAGCACACCCTCCTTATCCAAAGACACCTGCACAGACTGAAGGTCTTTAACAATGTTACCGAGAAAATGAATTTTATATGCCAAGTCGTCTTGATCGAGGTCACTTCCCAGGCGGTACTCCCTTAGGTCATTTGTCAACTTGGTGACCTTACCTCTCAACCTTGCACGAGAGGCCTTTGCCTCCTCCATCACAATCACTCCGAAAGCACACAAAAAATAAGCAAATCCGGCGACCCGCCGCAAACCAATCTTGATCTCAATCTTGAAAACCAATCAACAAATCTTGACGGTGTACCACCGCACAGAGCAAGATCAAAATCACTGAAAAAGATCAGCCATCCGGCCCGGAGGACCAGCTGTTGAAAGTTACGTTACGTTAATGTAGTTAAATCGGTTGAATCTTCGGTCGGTATCCCTCTGGTAGCATCGGTACGCACAAACAGCACGGCGTCTCACAGGTGACTCTGTATTGTTGCGTGTGGCGCCACTGGGCTCAACTCAGTTTACCAAATAAAAATGGCAGCAATCACTTAGGGGTAATTTTCGGCGATGAAAGTATTTAGGGGGAAACTCGCGCTGTGGAAAGCGTAGTCCGACCACCACCATCCCGAGCCTGCAGTGCACGCAGCGTGCCGCCGTCACCCTGCAATCTGCATGGCTCTCCCAGTCCGCGCTGTGGTCCGTGTGGCCGACTGATTTGGGAGCTGTCGCTACTCGGGTGGCCGGCACATAATGAGAATCGACGGGCGCCGATAGTGCCCCAGGAGTGTTACCGTATCACGGGGGAAGGGGGGGGGGGTAACTGAGTGCGCGGCGATCGGATCACATCGTCAGACTCTTGGTGGCCCAGTTACGACTCACATTACTGATATCCTTACCGCCTTCCACTAACAGCGCTTGCCTTTGAGAACTGGTTAGACATGCAGGCTACCTTACATCACTGATGCGTCCCTATCGGCCATCGTCTCAAACACTCCTTTGTCTTTTTCTCTGATCCTGATTCTCCCGAAGCTCGCATATGCTGTCCTGTATTGATATTGACCCCTGACGCATATTGACCCCTTGCCACGGAGGCGGTACAACCACTGCACCGTGGGGACTTATGCCATCCTAGCACGCATTAAGTGGCAAGTTAAAGTATTTCGATTTCCACTTTTTTGTTATTCATTCCACGTAGAATTGTCCAGCGCATCCGAATCACACCTTAAATCGTCTGTAAAATGATTGTTTATGCCTCAAAAAACCTCTCAAAGTGTAGCTTCGTCCTGACCAGCGTCGTGCTACCTGCATACAGCGAAAAAGCACACTACAATAAAACGCCCTCTCACTCGTTTCCCTGAACAGCAGGTTATAGTTGCGACATGTTTTCATTATCTTATAAGGAAGATGATGGTATGCACGAAAATTTCCAAAATTCATCCAAATGTATAATTTTTGACCAAAATGCTAAAAATATTAAAATGCTTCTTGATTCAGAGAGTTGACAAGCAAACTATTCCCTTACAAAGTTTGATACGCGGTGGTACGCGTGGAAATGTATATCAAAATGTTCTCCAATAATTTCTGCATCGGGGGCAGCTCTCATTTTTTGCCGAAATTTGCCTAAACCAGTCACTATGAGACGTCAAAGCAGACGGTGCCGCGTGGTTTCGTACGCCCCGCCGGGCCGCGCCGCGGCGGGTTACCCGACCGCAGCACACCGCCTGGGGGTTTCCGGTCAGTGTAGGAGTTGGGAGGAGGGAGGAAGGGGTGATACCATGTTGACATTATTTTTCTATCGCCAAATGTTCTTTTTGAACAAAACAACAACACCCTTGCAACGCTGCGTCCATTTTATTGGCTACCGCCGCCAATGTTCACCTTATTGAACTTCAGTACAGAGCTTTAATATACATATGTAGGTAAATCGAAAAATGCTGTAACTTTGTAAAGTGAGGTTGGAGGTTTTTGGGGTGCTAATCACGAATTTCAAGCTAGTTTTGATCAAGGATGATGTTTTTATGCTAGGCCGGGTCAGGTCAGGCCCGACCAGTAGGTGTCTTGCAGGCTATCCATAGAAGGTAGGCGTCGATTACCTTTGACGGCTTCGTAGCATGTTCCGTCAGGCACCAAAACTACTTAAATCTTCAAATGGGTGTTAAGTTCGAAATAAGCTCCAAGCACTTATCTGGAAAAATCGTATACCTTGAAAAAGTCAACTAAGGTCATCTAAGGTAAATGACCTTGATTTGACCTTAACGTGACCTTAAAATGCAAAGAACAAACAGCATTTCATACCTTGGAGAGTTAACAATCACAACAAGACTGAAAACGCGCCGATAATGTGCGCTGATAAGCGCCAAATCGATACCAGCCTGACATGGTCTGGTGAAACAGGTCACAGGTCAAATTTTTATTATAAGGTCAAGGTCATGAAATTTTAAGTGTGTGAGTAACATTGATCGAATCGAAGGTATAGAAAGTTTCGTCGTGATCCGCCACGTTTTGCTTGAGTTAGTATGTGAAAAGTCGAGGACAGAAGTCTGTGCGACCCCCTCCCCCTTTAACCCTCGCCCTGGCAGGGGGGGGGGGTCGATGCGACCCCCCCCCCCCCTAAGGTTTTTCGAAGATAGCGTAAAAACGGCGGCGCGCAGCGCCGCCAAATTTGGCACAGCCTATGGGGCAACCTTTTTACATATGACCTGAAAATTTCAGGTCCGGGTGACCTTAGGTCAGGTCACCAGGTCAGAAAAACCGGTACAAGGTCATGGTCAAATTTCAATTTTCTTTGTGCACCTGTCCAACTCACAGTTTTGCACTGATTTCCTTCAAACTTTCAGGATGTGCTAAGTTCACCGAGTTGTATAACATATAGTTCGGGTTTTTTGAGGTCACTGACCTGAGGTCAGTTAGAGGTCATTACGTCGTAATGTTAAGCCTATGGGAAAATACTAAATTCGGAAAATACTGGAGATATCCGCTTCGTTCTATCACTTTTGTGCTTTGAAACCACAGTACTTAACAGCAGGTCACTTGGTGCTTCTTTGTTTGGTGTACTTATCCATGGGTCAGGTCAAATGAGGTCAACTGAGGTCAAATGACGTTTTTGCCAATAACTTGGCACATAATGACGCTAGAGCTTAGAAAATGGTACCATTGTGTTCCTGGTGATCAGCCGAATCGAATGATATGCGATATGATGCAATTTGGTTAACCTGAACTTAATTTATTAATTTAAGTTTACTTAAAATTTAAGAAAAACTTTAAGTACACTTAAGCAAGCTACAAAGTATATCATTCGACGCGCCTTGACGACGTGCTGAGTTCACTGGTGCTTTTCTTTTTGCTCTATCTTAATTAGATCAAAAGTTATAAGCGAAAAACTTTTGACCTGTTTTTAGCGAAATTTTTACATTTATACCCCCCAAAACCCCCCTAAATATTGACCTAGAGCAACCAAATTTGCACAGGGGCGAGAACTCCAGGGGGCCCACCTACCTACCAAATTTGGTGTTTCTAGGTGCCATAGGAGCCAATCGCGAGGGGGGGGGTCGCATCGACCCCCCCCCCCCCCCTGCCAGGCCGTGTTATGAAAAATGCCCTGCCAGGGCGAGGGTTAAGTGCAAGGACTAACAAAGTGCCCGAAATGCCTTTTGGTGATTGGGCTAGACATGAACAAATATCTACTTCTAAAACGATTGTAGTTTCGTTCTACCTTTTTAACGCTTCCACGCCCACGATGCATTGCTAGCCGAAAACGCATCAGTGCTAAGTCCGTGGGGAGGGGGCGGGGGAGGGATGGGGTCAAGCAGGAGAGCCAACCATGTTGTCAGGGATCATACACCCTTAGCCTAACCATTTGAAGGTGAAATAAAATTAGTTAAGGTAGCGGAGGATGCGATATAAATAAATTCGTGCTAGGATCGATAAAAACCCCACAGTGCACTGCTCCGACGACTCGCCTTGGACATAGGACGTTCGTTCTGATCGGTCGCCGCGCCGTTCAATGTAGAAGTTAGGCTACTGGGCTGAGGAGACGCCGGGAGAAACTGGAAACCAAAGTGAGTTACGTTCGCAGCTGCTGAAATTCCTGGCCAGATGGGCCCGCTGTTAGTGCCGAGAAGTTTGGACTGATGGATCTCCGGTTCATCACAGCGTCGGGAGATATATTGGCGACGCTGATTGACACTGCTAGTGCTCGTATTAGACGTTAGTATGCAAATGGGGTGTTGCAGGTTTATAAAGGCTTGTCAAAATATATGTTTTGGGAATATATAGGTGTTTTCACAGCCGTATAACTGCGTTGAGGCTCAGGCTGTCATAAAAGGCTAAGTTAATATGGAAAAGACACGAGTTGGTTGGCTTTTCAATTTGAAGGGCTGGTGCTGTTTGGTATCATTTTCCACATTTTCTTCTTTTTTCTTGCCACATTTGTTGACCGACCGACCCTGTTGCTCTTTGTTGACCGAGCGTTGTGGATTACTTGAAAAAGCGACTGGGAGCACAGCACAGCTTGTGATCGCCTGTGTTGGTCTTTGCCACTGACCAGATTAGACCGACACTGAGCTAATGTCTGGGCTCAGAAGTCCACGGTAATGTCTCGTCTGCAGGCAGTAAACAGTTTATGGAAGAATTACCCGCACGTGTTCGGTAGATATACAATACATGTAAGCCGCTTATTTGTGACACAAAGACTGCCTATAAGATTTGTAGTTGTCCAGTTGTGGATCGCTTAGGCTACGTCTAAGACACAATATACTTGGTGCGCGGCGTTTTCTGTGCATTTTGTAGTGAGATCGATAATGCCTGAAAATACGTGCTAAGCAATATCCATTCATTAATGTGGCTGGTTTTTCGTAAGGCAATGGATGTGGACAGTTAGCGAGCCCGTGCATCAATGACCTCTGAGACTAACAACATGTCGTCTCTGTTTCAGCTTTGGAGAGAAAGATCTCTGTCCGAGCGGCCCGTGAGGACCTGGTGAAAAAGGGCATCCTACTACCGGAGACACCCACCACTCCTAGCGGACCCATGGGAGAGGCGCCTGGTGAGTATATACAGGGGCGACATCTATACTGGTGGTGGTGGGGTGTGCTAGCGCTACCTAGGTCAAGTATTGTACGCTGCCGCAGATGGCAGCACTGCGACCAGATAGTTACGTGTCCGTGGAGTGCACGCATCTCGTAGCATGGTAGGGTATCTGCTGAGGAGGTTCTCGTGGCTGCATATTAAACTGCTGCGGTGCAACTACATTAGTCTAAGTGATGGTGCTTCCGTCACTAGGTAATCAATGCTATGCCCATGAGGGCCCCCCAAACCCACCAGTCTCGGTTCTCAAGTCTCAGCATTAGCACTTGACTGGCAGTGCGCGATAGATATTACGATGAAGAAGAAATAATTAGACCAAAGGAAAAACAACCTGTGAATCGACTTAGCAGCCTGTATATCTCCTTTACCCGTGCCCGCTCCACGTTATATTTGCTGTTCCGGCTCGAGAAAGTGCAGTTTCAGACAGGGCAATGTCGTGCCAGTCTGACAGACAGTACTGCCATGCCCATGACATCCCACCGGTTTTGTTAATCAGTTGGTCTATAACAGCGCTGTAACGAGCCGCCCGTCACGGGGCGCCGTGTGTCCGTTTCGGCGCCGCCCGCCTGAAGTGTCCGCCGCCGCGCCGGTCGGGCTCGCTCGACTCGGCTCGGCGGTGTGCCGGCCGGCTGTCGGCGGCCGCGGTCGGTATTGATCCTCCAGCCAGCGGCGGCGGCGGCGGCGCCTCAGACTGCCGGGAGTGCTCAGCGGCCGCCGCTCGGAGGCCCCGCCGAGAGAGCTGGCACGGCCGAGCTGTCCGTGCCTCCACGGCCGCTCTGCCCCGCGGTCCGACACTCAACTGAACCCAGGGCGGGAACAGTCGGCCATTGGTGGTAACCAAATATTGTGGGAGCTTTGAACTAGGTGCCAAAGTGTTGGGAGTTCGTGGGAACTTTCGAGCATTTGTCAGGACATCGTAGTTTTCCAAATCTCCTTATATTCGTTGAGGATTTCAAAACCTGCGTCTGTTGTCGGCTTTGATTAAAAAGCCGCCTCTGTTATCGTCTTGCCATCAGGGTGCGTCGGTATTTCTCAGGCGGCGGCGGTTCTCTGGTTTCGCGTTATTGTTGCTGCAGGAGTTGGGCGGGAGTTCCCTAATGTGATTGATGACGTTTTTATAATCAGTCGTGATTGCCGCCCCGACTCAGCCTGGCGGCCTGTGCTCGGAGTGTTTTCTGGGGCGCTGGCCGGCCGGCCTCCAGCCCTTTGTGCCACGTGGGTCAATAAGAGCACTGTTTGCCGGAGCTCCAATTGCCGGGCTCGGTACGGACTGTGAGTCGAGTAATCACGGGCCTCGTACAGGCTCACTGCCGACCGTCAGTTGACTGTATGGATTCCGTACGGCTACAGGTCAGAGCGTGGGTCGAGTAATGGTGGAGCCAGTACGGCCTCCAGTACAGACTGAGAGGGCGACCTTGGGGATCCTACTCTGCTTCAGTACAGTACTAGCTCCGTTTGAAGACGGGTTCTCTTTCTGTCAACGTTCTGCTCCGTTCTTTTCTGTCGTGGTCCCTTCTTTTGTTCCATTAACCGTTGTTTCGAAGATACGTGATCGCCGTGACTGTTCTCCGGGTGTGTATGGAGCCGATATTGCTCCGCTACCACCGCTTTCCGTGCCGTCCCGCCGCACTGGGTCTATGCCCGGCCGGCCCTCCGGATCTCTCGTCTGTCTGCGGGCGATAGGCAATCTGAGCTATGTCCGGCGCCGCTGGATGTGCTCGGAATGTGGTTACCGCCCCGCAACCACCGCCCGCCGCTGGTGGAACCACCGCCCACAGCGCCGGTCGGCTTTGAGAGCGGACGGCCGGAGATGTCTCAATCTGTCGGAGATAGGGAAGGGAGAGGCGAGTTGTGGAGGCAGGGCGAGACAGGGTGAGATTGGGATATGGTGTTTGGAGAAGGGACACGGGGATGGGATGTCGAGCGTACGGCGAGTGGAAAAGAAGATTGATGTTTGTGCGGAGGGAGACATTGAGTGAGAGAGGAATAAGAAACATTGGTGGCAGGTGTGCTTTAAATACAGAATCCCATGCAATGAAGATGTGTCTGCAGACATAATGAATGCATATGAAACGTTTATGTCCGCGTGGCTTCATGTGTATGTGCGTTGGTGTATCATTTTGTGTTGTTGTTTTTCTTTCTGTGGAGCCTTGTACACAAAGTCATTCAACGCGTTGGTAAGGAGCGAAAACAGCTCGCTCGTTTCTGTTACGGAGGATATTCCTTTGGGTTGTTGTGACACACGAAATCCTTTTGTTTGTGGCTGAAAAAGGATATCGACAGCCATGTTTAGCTGCGCAGTAATATGTTTCGGTATCACAAGAATCGGGCACCATTTTGCAATTATTTTGTGCCAATGTAGAGCACTTATTACTTCCAGTCAAAGACGAGCAAAGCAGTTTACATCCAGAACTAGACTTTTACCAAATCGCGGTGTTTCTCCATTTTCCTTACAATTATTATTTTGTTTAATCTTATAAGCATGATTTAGTGGTATTCAATCAGCCTCAGATTGCAGTATTGGCTCAGGGGTTCTAATATACGATCAAATTCAATTTATCTTCAGTCTACCAGCTCGTATTTATTAAGCAATCTACTGGCTTATTTTAAAAGTATTTATTCATTTGCTCTGTTGCTGATCGGAGACTGGGCTGCCTTTTGGCACTGCGCGCTGTGCGCTCTATTCAGCTGAGTCGGCCGCGGCCGGCTGGTCACGGACCGGTCTGGCTGTGGCCGTCGGTGACGACCCGTCTGCCCCGGCTGCGGGCCGTCCAGCTCTGCGGCCTGTCGCGCCCTCTCCGGCCGGTAATCCAGCCATTCGAACCCCGGTCTCCGCCCGGTGGCCATCTGCTCATATGGGTCCGCTCGGCCGTGTCAGCGTCACCGCGGCTTTACCGCCGGCCCAACGGAGATGGAGGGAAAAGGTCACGGCGGGTAACGCCATTTCATCCCTGGCTCTGGTCCCGGGTCCTTACAGCTGGCTGGAGACACAGTGAGGTGGCCAGATAACGTTAGACAATCCTGGTCCTGGTCCTTAACGCTGCACTTCAGAGCGGCAGGAGCAGAGGTGGGTGGGTAACGCCTCGGCCCTCTGCTCTGTCGTCCGTCTCGGGACACTAGACCTGGTCCTAACCTCCGCGCCGGACGGTCCTGGACGCAGTAAAGGTCGCCGAGTAACGCCTCCATCCGGCCGGATCCGTCCGTTTCCGCCGCCGTGGCGGTATTGTCGGCCGCCCCCGCCCCCGCCCCCGCCCCCGCCCTCGCCGCGGCTGTCGGTGGAGATAGGGCCCTGGCCGGAAAAATGATGAGTGGCCACTGGCCAATCGGGCTCTGTGATGCGTATGTATTGTGCCGCAGCCGATAGCGCCGTGCTGACGGGCTATCGAACGGCGAGTGTGTCGGGTCGGTCTGAGGGGCGGCAGGAAAGGTTTGGCCTTCTCCAAATAACTCTCACAACAGAAAAAAAAAAACAGGATCAGCGGAGTATCGCTCTCGCCATAGGTGGGCACGATCCGTTCCTCCGTTCCTCCGTTCCGGAACGCCGTTACAATTTTTAGGAACGGAGGAACGGACTCGTTACATTTTAAAAAGGGTAACGGACCAAGTAACTTCCGTTACATTGGTTGTTCGTTCCTCCGTTACAAGTTAACAGTTTAGTCCGTTCCTTCGTTCCTCCGTTACTTTTCGTTGTCCGAGCGGGTTGATCTTTCAGCTAACCCACAGACATTAATGCAGCAGCGGAATAGTGGATTATTGAGCAGGCCTGACTTGAAGACGGGAGATGGCCTCAGTGTACAGTGTACTGGCCTTCCGCAATGAGCCGGCGTTGCAGTATATATGTGTTCGCAAAGTTCAACACGGGCGTCCCTTCAAGCGCCTCAGTAGAGCGCATGTTCTCAATGGGAAAAGATGTGCTACGTGCAAAAAGGGCTACCCTCTCAGAAAGTGGCAGCGGAACATCTTCAATTAAGGGAGGGGGGGGGGCACTGCCGACTTTTTGTTCCATTCTTTCCATGCAACGCACATAGGGCTAATGTTAAAATGCCAAAATCAAAGGGGGCACGGTGCGCCGGTGCCCCCCCCCCCCCCGTTCCGCCGCCTATGCTCTCAGATGCCAACCTGGAACGTCTAGTGTTCGTGAAGTGCAACCGGCATCTGGCCGGGGACAAGTGATGCGCATCAGTACCACCAGACGTTCCAAGGTTTAGTGTCCAATCAGTGCCCACTGTCTTGGTAGATTTGGTGGGCATTCCGCTTTCTCGGTAGGTTTAGTTTGTGTCAGAATGGTCTCAAAAATGTTTGAAATACCCAACATTTTAACGTTTTTTATTTTGCTGTAACGGAGTAACGGACTAAAAGAACTTCCGTTACATTATATACAGAGGAACGGAGGAACGAGTAACGGAAGTCACGTTTTGAGGGAACGGAGGAACGAGTAACGAAGTTACAATTTTGGGGAACGGTGCCCACCTATGGGCCTCTCGCAGTCACAAAACTCCGGATTGCTTTGGAGGAGTCATGTGCCGCACAGCCTGACTCCCAACGCCCGCTGCGCCGGAGATTGATCAGCGTTCACTCAGCCAGTGATGTGACGCGGCACAGCCTAACTTCAGGCGTTCGTGGCTAGCGACATCTAGTGACGTGAGTAGATGATAGCGGTACGCAAATCCGCCGCGTGGGTGCGTGGTGATAGTGTACGGCGGCACAGCGTAAGTTCAGGCGTCCGCGGTCAGTGATATCTAGCGGCAATGCTGTCTAACATCGGTACGCGCAGCAGCCGCGTGGTGGCGTGGTCATCAACGGTGTACTGCGGTACAGTGGGACTTCAGGCGCTCGGGACCAGTGACATCTAGCGACGGTGATGTCGGTAAACGTGGCTTATGCGCAGTCTGAGACTGACAGCGACTCCCGTAGACGGTAAAAATTAAAATACGTCCGAACAGGAACAATCACGGAACA